TCCAATATTTCCGTGAGTCAATTATTTTATTGGTGTTTGAATAAATTGAACTGTTTTGATCACTTGATCAGTTTTTCCGATTTTATTTGCGTGTAACTTTTTGTAAATCATTTCCATGATTTATAATTTACTATTTTACAGTGCCTGAAGACAACTTTTCAGCCAACATGCTCATCTGGGTAATGCCAGCTTGGGTGCTGTGAGGGAATATTAGGTAAGATGTCCTTGACATGATGCAGTCTCTTGATAAATTTCAGGGCCATACACTCCCCCTAAAAATTTAGTTGCATTCATTGTATAGTACATGCCACAATAACCCATCAAATAAAAATTGACCAATTTAAAACCTAAAAAGAAAATATTGTGTGCTTATCAAAAAATTATTGAGATGATATTTGAAATAAAAATATTCTCAAAACATTTTAATGTAAGAACTTTTAATTTAATGTTAAAGAAAAAACAAATATGAGATTCTTGAAATTGTTATATATAATTATATTTATATAACCCTTTTTAAAATAAAATGACTTTGGCTTTGCATGTGATATTGGCCATGCTGGTTTTTTGATTTTTGGCTTTGAAGTTTACAATATGCATAAAGTTATGTCATGTTCAAGATATAGTTATTTATTATCAGGGTTCAAAAGAGCAATTTGTTGAACAAAAAATTCCTTCCAAAAAGTTGGGTAAAAAATAATGATTTTTTGCTAGCTAGCTCACCTCTGCTCCCCTTATGCTTAAGCTTTAGCAAAGCGGAGATGATGTGGTAGAAATAGGTTGATCACTTGACTCAATCAGGTGACTTTTTTGACGCAATTAATTGAGCCATATGAAAAACATATAAATTATTAGTTAGATGCAATTAAAAATTGTGATTTTGAGAGTTGGGTCAAAGTCAAATTAATTTTGACAAACATGTATAGGAGAAGAGATGCCCTTTACAATTAAGGTTGCTTGTTGAAACTCCTCCAGAAATCAATCAGCAGGGTTTCGGCAGGTTACACATTAATTGTTTATTAGAGTTTCGGCAGAGTTT